TATATTTATTATATACACACACACACACACACACACACACACACACACACACACACACATACATATATATATAGATATATATATATATACACAAACATACATACATATATATATATATAAATATATATAAATATATATATATATACATATATATATATGATGATACATTATATATTGTAATCGGCTTGGTATTTATTATAATTACGTTTGCGCCGTCCGTTTTTTTAAACCTATATTTCGTTGTGCGTAGATAAAATACCACTACTTACAAATAATAGCTAATCAATTTGTGTTTTTAAATCTCGGTCTATATCTAGACCTCTTATCTCTCAGTGGAATATGGTATCACTAATACTTATTGAAAATGTTGCAAAACTGTGCAGTGCAGTGTTATCCCCAAACTTTTAAGCATTTTCATATATCTTTTTATGCTCCCTCTTTTCCGAGTGTGAATTTAAAAGGTAAACTTATTATGATTTGTTTGTAAAACTCGCAGCAATTGCAGAGTTTCATAGCAACATCTTCGAACTCCTGGCGGCTGGACTGTCCGCCTGGGCATCTATTGTAATATTATTATGAATATGTTCCCAGCCTAAGTAACAATACGCACGTGCTTTCATAAGAGGGCCATAAAACCATAAAAAATTCAACCTGTTTGCTTCCAACTGCGAAATCTTATTTTATTAGTATTTTAAAAACTGATTCGAGTTTCCAAACTCAATACCTTTAAGACTGACAGTGATCATAGCCTTGTATTTATATTATACACCTGCTACACAACTCTCTACCAATGATGGCTAACAACTGATGATTATTTCTTTAGTATATTATCCAACAGGGTGTTCCAGAAGTTCTACGTTGAATCCGTCCTGAGAACACACCTCACTACTGCGCGATTTTGTGCCAGTCAGAAACCTCGGGGTTGTTTGATATCCAAACCAACCTGAAAAGACCTAGAGATCCTCCACATCCTGCGAGTTTAATTTTCAAATTATTTGAGTTGAATTCATCTTCACAGTTTTAGATAATAAGGGATGTTAAGACCACTAATATAGTGCGAGAAACGAAAAAGGTTGAGCAGAGATTTAAAATGAATGCGAGATTGATGCCCCATGTAACCTTGTGATATACCACATCAGAGAAATCTCTGTAGCAAAAAAATCAGGTAGCACTTTGCTGGAGATGTCAAAACTGTGACAGTAAGCAAGCAAATTGCTCACTCCCCAAAGGAACTAGCAGACGGTAGTGCATGCATTCTGTACCTCAGAACACAAACATATTTATGGACCAGACCATCAACCCCGTCCACCTTTTAGTTTTAACCCTTTAGAATAGTATTCATCACCTATGTTCTACTTACCGGTAGGCCGGCCCATGCGTTGGCCTCTATATTGCACGAGTTGACACCCTTCTCGATCCAGAAGAATCCGTCGAGTCCCCAGTCAGCTCCTACAACGAGGCATGAGTTAAAAGAAGTGACCTACGACTGAGTGATCGCGGACCGGTCTTTAGTATTGACTGTTGTTCTAAATCCACTCTTGATTAGCTAGTAATTTATTCCCTATTAGATCTACATTCCGTTGAATAAGTTACACGTCGGATTGGCACTATATGATGAGGTGATATTGCGATACAAGTAAACCACCGAATCTTTTGAAAGGGGCAGGAGAGGTAAAGTGGGAGGGGGAATAAGGACTATGATGCTTCCACTGGCATTACAACGCCTTGAAGTGTAACCCACGTTTTTGCAACTATAATGAGAATGATTTACCCAAAACAAAGCAAAAACAAAACAATTGCACGCACCCCAACTGTTCTGCACGATCCAGTAATCTCCTTGCTTCTCATCAGTGCCCCACCCGACGATCTTGATAGCGTGTCCACCCATCAGAGGACCTTTAGTGTACTTGTACACTCCACCTTTGTAGCTCATGAAATCCTGTGACGAATACAAGTAGTTATGATAGCTTACTGACGTGTCGCAAGAAAAATGCAATTGATTGATACAAAACGGTGACATTCGCCCATAAGCGTTCCGCGACGAGCGTGCAAGTACACCTTACACCAGAATACACGTATACGTACTCTGCGAACGCCAGCTCATTTCGTAAGCATCTTATCGTAAAAAAATGTTCCCTGCAGCTACAGGCTAAGCAAGGGTGCAAACACATGTAAACATAAACAATTGAATAGCTGGCATCAGCAATACTCGTCACTAATTCTCCAATGACATAATAATGGCACACAAACGGGCAAGTAGTTCCGCCTGCATATAATAGTATCAGTGCAAAGAACTACAGATAACAAATCTCGTCGATGCATACTCACTTGATAGACCATGTAAGCAGCTTCAATAGGCCCGTTCTTGTAAATCTCGGCCATCATTTTCTGTACAGCACTCTCTTCAGTATCGAACCAAGTTACGACAGGATATACGGACTTAGCCTGCAATAGAATCAAGTTAGAAATGATCTGATCAGTATCAAAGCGACACAAACAATAAACTAAAACAGTAAATGTCCAGAATATATATCTATGTGAAACGTAGATCTTAGAATCGCATTCAAATCAAGAAGTACTCTGCACTTCCTTACCAACAGAATTGTATTGGAAAACTAGTTGAATGCAACATTCTAACGCGACGGACATATAGTATTGAGAGAATATGTTATTAATCGTGTCAACCTTGTAAAACTTGATCGGTGTTCCGTCCTCGCACTGTTCAATACATGAGCCCGATATTTCTGATTCGCCCGATGTGTATGGATCGCAAGACTCCGCCGGGAGCCCATGGAAGCGCCTGATTGACAGTACAAGCATGCCAATTTACAAAACTACATAAATGATGCAGATCAAGAATGAACTGGTGTTTCTTTTACCCGATAAAATGCATTTCTAAAGCTTAGTCACCCGAGTTACACATATGGAACGGTGACTCCAAAATATTTTTTAAATCGCACATTAGGTTAGTCCGATCACAGGCTGTTATCAGCTAACGATCGAGATTGAGGAGATAACATCTCTTGGTCCTGCGTGAAGTTGTATATAAAATACGAAAAACAACAACGATTATTCGCTCGAAAAAGAACAAAAAACGCAACGCATAATAACTAAACCCCGTTCACTTCATTTTAGGTAAAAGCAATCCCCATAAAATGTCAGCAAAACACAAAAGACAATACTGCTATCACATAATCAGGATATCAAGGGTAAGATATACAAAAAGATGAATATATTCACTATACAAGACTTAACGACGTAGCAACATACATATATCCCCAGACCGTGAACAACTGTCCTCCATAGCAGCCCAGGTCAACGGGATCGCAGCTCACGAGATATTGCGGGGCCAGCAGAACGTCGTGGCCGGCCATGCAGAATCGGTCGGAGAGGGCCTCACTCGCGCCAAAACTCCAGCAACTTCCACCTGTGGACATATATATATATATGTTCATTGAGTGAGCCAAAACAATCGATTGATACTTGTATAGTTTTTCGTATAGAGAAGGTAAAACAGGCTTATACGCACCATTCACAGACATACACGCATATTATGTATATTTTGAACAGTCAAAGTTGAGGCCAACACCCACGTTTTCAAGCATCGAATGCGAATGTTGACTCACATCTTCCTTGATTACGCACTGGGTGGATGCACTTCCCGTGCTCCGTGCGGGCATCATACTCCTTAGGCAGACTGTTTATCACATCAGCCACATCTAACTCCGAGTAGACCTTAGGTCCCTTGCTTTCTACTGTAGTTCCCATAGAGAATTTGATTTCGTCCACAGTCCAGCCCTTGTGATAATCATTCACGCCAGCAGTCCTGTATCATAAAGTGAACGCTATGTATGAGCCTTCAAGAATGATATACGCAGGAACCAGAACACGTTCAAACTTCTATGATCCCGTATTTTAAGGACCATTTTGGCCAGCCATCACGGGTGAAAAATCGACATGCTCAGTCAACTCTTCTTGAAGCCATAACTTATACTTTCGAAATATAGCACTCCTAAGATTCATATTTCAATAATTAATTTCGCCCAAGTACATACCAGGTGTTGCCAGGTAAAGAGTTGACATGCTCAATAAGCTCTTCCTCCGCCAAAAACCGATCTTCTGGTGCTGTGAGTGACACGCCACTTGCAGACGCATAGGCTACGACAGCTGCTAATACGGCGAACTAATACATAAGGTAGTACGCAGCAAGCAGATTTGTATGTAAGCAAATTGTACTTTTATATTTGAATATCGAATAATCAATCAGTCATAGTAGAACAGCTAAAACTCCGAATGACACACAAATTTTAAATTAGAGAGCAGCTGGAATACCATTTCGTAGCGCATGGCACAAAAGATCGATAATAAAGAATCGCGCACAATTTACTTCTATGGCAATGATACATCAGCCCAAGCAATGTGCCTAAAAAAGCTCAAATATAAGTGACAAATACAAACGAAATAAATAACGTCCGTGTGTTCTTATAGGGAATACCATGCTCACAGCCAACTATAAACCCTTCTTGAATCTTGTATATTTGAGCTGTGAACAAAGTCAGATCGACGAACACATTATGACCAACTTGAGAAAGGTGGGCATATCTATAAATATTAATAAGTTGTAAACTACTAAGGGAACCATGTCGATCCGAACGCGGCAGTATACCTATAGCGATGCGACTAGCGAACAAAATCCTGCTCATTCCACACCACTGCGCACGTATGACCTAAGTAGAATTGAATTGCTACGATAACACAAAATGAGGTAAAACATAACCACTTTTAAAATGAAGTAGTACTTCGACGAGTAAAAAATTCGTAGAGAGCGTGATTCATTTCTAGAGGAAACGACAGCTTTAGTGTAGGAACATTGAAGAACTTACCTTCATGTTGATTAATTCAATTCAACCCAATATTGACTGTTCTTGTGAACAGAAGTATGAATGGTACTCGAAGTTTGTGAATGTCCCACACTTAAATACTACTACTAGAAAAACTGCACAAAGAGCTGCAATGTCAGTTTGTACTTTTGTTCACTGTTCTCACTTTTATGTAAATATGTGCAGTTTTTCACTCGGACGTCATCGATGTCATCATATTATTGTTATGGTTCAATCACAGTCAACGAATCGATGATATTTATAACTTCCTATGAGTCATAGAGGAAAGAGTACGAGCAAAAAAAAGCCGTGACTTTTTAAAAAACCATTTTTGTTCACTCTGTATGATTTGAAGGCTATGTTCTCTCTTTCTGCGAGAGGCCGCTGATGAGGCCTGAGACTCCTGAGAGAGAGAGAGAGCCTTTGTTTTGAGGACTTGAGGGTATTAATGTTATGCTATTTACTTATTGACTTATTCTCTCTCTCTATTTAAAACGTCACATGCGAAAATAGGGGATTCCTTTTATACGGTTCCCCTAACAACAGCGCAAATCTAATCATACATCTCAGCCGTGTATACTCAACTCTGGTGTATAACCGTTAATACCTCAAATTCACAACTTTATGTTAAGGTCTACGTGCTAACAGGTTTATTTTGATCCAACGTATATCGAATAAAATCTGTGCATTCTATAGAGCTGTATGTGAAAGTGGTTCGTTTCTAGCCGTACACTGCCTATAAAACCTCGCCAGTTTTGTCTAACAATCCTAAGTAATATTGAACATTGAGGAATACCGAGTAAGACTTCATAATAATACACATTAGATGATGTTATAGCACACATGTAGAAGATATATTATTACATACATTTGACAATTCTAGGAGTAGCACTGCGGATTGTACAATAGCTTATTATACAGAACTGTCAATCGCCATCACGTCAATTAAGGAGACAAATCACAAAATGAGCGATATCGCTGACCAAAGTCAGAGAAAATGGGTCGCTCGTGTGCTGGGAGTGACCTTTCTTGCTTATGCGTCCGCGTACTTTCTTCGAAAACCATTTAGGTATGAGATATATCTATATTATCCAGAACATGCTTATACACGATATATATATATTTATATATAAATATTTATATATATATATATATATACACACACACACACACACACACACTACACACACACACACACACACACACACACACACACACACACACACACACACACACACACACACACACACACACACA